ATCTAATTAAAATATTGCCCAAAATTGGATTTTGAAGCTTTCCCCTCATATTAGATTAAACATGTTAATATTTTTTTCGATCTTAAAGACGGGCCCCAACAAAAAAGTACCCTGCGAGAACAATTAGTTTTCATTATTAGGGAGTGAAACCCTAAAATAATGGGGACCTTCATTTTTAATTTGTTTTCGAAAGGGTATCAATTAGACATCAAATTGGCCAGTCTGAAATTTCCCAACATTTAACGTGGACCTAGTTTTGCATACTTGGAGTACGCGTAGTAAAAGGAGGTGGAGATTATATGCATCAAAATGGTTCCGACGGAAACCGGTTTCACTTTTCTTGTGATTCTTAGAACATGGCAAAACATGATTTGGAAGGCGTTTCTGTTGTTTGGTGATTTATGTTCATGTTGACAATTTGCCGTGTATTCATCAAAATGGCTCCGACGGGTACTTTGCTTTCATTTTTTTCTAGTTGCTGGAATTAAAGTTGAAAAAAGTAAGCTTAGAACATGTCAAAACATGGCTTGGAAGGCGTTTCTGTTGTTTGGTGATATACACTAATCTTTACAATTTGCCGTGCATATGCGTCAAAATGGCTCCGACGGGTACTTTTTTTCACTTTCTTGTGATTGTTGGAATTCAAGTTGAAAAAAGGAAGCTTAGCACATGTCAAAACATGGTTTGGAAGGCGTTTCAGTTGTTTGGTGATGTACGCAAATAGCGCAAGATTCGGCAAGATATTTTTGGTTGCTAATCTATACAATTTGCCGCGTATATGCATCGACATTGTTTTTTCGGAAATTTTACGAGTACTTTTTGGATTTTTTGTTGAATGTAGGCACAAGGGGACTTAGAATATCGCCGCAACATGGTTTGGAAGATGTTGCTGCTGTTTTGGTGATTTCTGCTAATCTTCCCAATTTGCCTTGTAATCCCTTCCCCCTGTTACCAAACGGTCCCCCGTCGTCCCCCCAAATAATAAACACCTGGAGGAGTTTTAGTATTAGGGGGTACTCAGTATTAGGGTGCGAAGCTTTCCCACATATTAAATTAACAACTTTAATATAAAAAGCTAAAATGTTCTATATCAAAATCGATTAGATTTCGTTTCAAATCTATTTAAAATATTGCCACAAATTGGATTTCGAAGCTCTCCCCTAATATTAAATTAAGAACCCTAGAACAAAGAACAAAAATGGTTTATTTCAAAATCGATTGGATTTCCGTTTAAAATCACAGTAAGAGATTGCCAAAAATTGGATTTCCTAAGATTAAATTAAAAACCCTAATATAAAAGACCAATTTGTTCTATTTCAAAATTGATTAGATTTCACTTTAAAATCTAGTTAAATATTGCCCAAAATTGGAATTTGAAGCTTTCCCCTCATATTAGATTAAACATGTTAATATTTGTTTTCGATCTTAAAGACGGGCCCCAACAAAAAAGTACCCTGCGAGAACAATTAGTTTTTATTATTAGGGAGTGAAACCCTGAAATAATGGGACCTTCATTTTTAATTTGTTTTCGAAAGGGTATCAATTAGACATCAAATTGGCCAGTCTGAAATTTCCCAAAATTTAACGTGGACCTAGTTTTGCATACTTGGAGTACGCTTAGTAAAAGGAGGTGGAGATTATATGCATCAAAATGGCTCCGACGGAAACCGGTTTCACTTTTCTTGTGATTCTTAGAACATGGCAAAACATGATTTGGAAGGCGTTTCTGTTGTTTGGTGATTTATGCTCATTTTGACAATTTGCCGTGTATATATGCATCAAAATGGCTCCGACGGGTACTTTGCTTTCATTTTTTTTCTAGTTGCTGGAATTAAAGTTGAAAAAAGTAAGCTTAGAACATGTCAAAACATGGCTTGGAAGGCATTTCTGCTGTTTGGTGATTTATGCTAATCTTCACAATTTGCCGTGTATATGCGTCAAAATGGCTCCGACGGGTTAAAGGTGAAAAAGGACGCTTAGCACATGACAAAATATTGTTTGGAAGGCGTTTCTGTTGTTTGGTGATTGACGCTAATCTTGACAGTTTGCCGTGTATATATGCATCAAAATGGCTCCGACAGAAACCGTTTCACTTTTCTTTTGAGTCTTGGAATTAAAGTTGAAAAAAGGAAGCTTAGCACATGGCAAAACATGGCTTGGAAGGCGTTTCTGTTGTTTGGTGATTTATACTAATCTTCACAATTTGCCGTGTATATGCGTCAAAATGGCTCCGACGGGTACTTCTATTTCACTTTCTTGTGATTGTTGGAATTAAAGGTGAAAAAAGTAAGCTTAGAACATGTCAAAACATGGTTTGGAAGGCGTTTCTGTTGTTTGGTGATTTATACTAATCTTCACAATTTGCCGTGTATATGCGTGAGTCTTGGAATTAAAGTTAAAAAAAGGAATCTTAGAACATGTCAAAACATGGCTTGGAAGGCGTTTCTGTTGTTTGGTGATATACACTAATCTTTACAATTTGCCGTGCATATGCGTCAAAATGGCTCCGACGGGTACTTTTTTTCACTTTCTTGTGATTGTTGGAATTCAAGTTGAAAAAAGGAAGCTTAGCACATGACAAAACATGGTTTGGAAGGCGTCTCTGTTGTTTGGTGATTTACGCTAATCTTCACAATTTGCCGTGTATATGCATCAAAATGGCTCCGACAGAAACCGTTTCACTTTTCTTGTGATTAGAACATGTCAAAACATGGTTTGGAAGGCGTTTCTATTGTTTGGTGATTTATGCTAATCTTCACAAAATGCCAGAATTCATCATGCATGGAAAGATCAAACAGAGTTGGGAAAATTGATGAAAAAGTGCCACAACAACGAGAACACCAAATTCTGGCCGAATCTGGGTAATCGGGAAAATTGATGAAAAAGTGCCACAACAGCGAGAAAACAAAATTGGGCCGAATCTTAGAACATCGCCGCAATCAAAAGCTATAGCTTAGTTTTTGCGGCGATATTCTAAGATTATATACGGACGCGCCATTGTGACTATATTCTAAGTTCTGGGTCAAAAATTTTGGAAAAATGGCGATATTCTAAGTTTCGGCCCGTCGCTATATACTAAAAAAATGTCTTAGCATTATTTGTAGTACTATTTGTGGTTTTCTGGGTTTTCCCTTCTTTTGGAGGGTATATGGGATGACGATCGCGGGAATTACGGATGGGTACTTTATTTTCATAGAGTGACGACGACTCTGACCCGATTTTCTGGGTGAACCTTGGGCAATGAAAAAGGTGACTGGGCTATTTTTTTGCAATACTATTTGGATTTAAATAAACTATCAACATTGGGGATTGTAAAGGGGGTAATGAGGATGAATCAATGATGAATCATTATACTATTGAGATGGATCCACACTTACTGCATCATTATATCTCCATATGAATGGGGGATGGACATCCATGAATCCCAACTATTTAAGTTGTGAACAGAAGAAGATTCCAAGGGTGAACTTACCTATACAAATGGGGAGAATTCGCTATCCCCGGGGCATCTCTTTTGGTCAAACAAGCTTTCGCGACTTGATCGGATCAGGATTCTTGCTGACTGTATACCCAGTTGTGGTGTTTTGGTGCCAAGCTCTTGTTGATCAGTTTGGTTGATTCCATCACCATTTTGTTGTTTTGGCCCACCTTTTTTCTGGGAAGTCTAGATTTTATGCCTCGCCGTTTCGTTGTTGATATTGCAATTGTTTATGCTGCATACTGACTTGCTGTCAATAATCTTCCGAGGGTGTATGTAGGCCATAAGCACAAACAATTCTGGGTACAGTAGACCTTGGTTTGGTAGGTCACTCAGTTAAGTTTTTGCCGTCATGATATCATTTTTATTGAAGGGTATCTACGAGCAGCAGTGATACTCCCGGCACCTTTGGTTGATACGCGCAGCTCAGTTCGCATCTAACTTAAGCCCTCACTTGAGATGGGTCAATCTCCATTTTTCATGGTAAAACCCTTCGTTTTCGATAGTCAAACCATGTTAAACCTTCATTTTGCTGGTGAGTTCCGAATTTTTGTCCACCTTCTCCGGTGCGTAGGTGATGCCCGCAGCACAGATGGCGGCTAACGCGGTGGCCGCCACCAGCGGCTGGCAGCCCTATGGGTTGCACGGAGCGCCGGCCTTTCAAACGCTGCCCAGGCTGTGTCGGTTGGGTATGAAGTTTTTTGGAATGATTCAATATTTAATGGTTTTTAGTAGTTACAGTAACAATGATTAATCATGATCAATAATGATTAATCATGATTACAGTAATCAATATTATTGTTGATTAATAATGATTAATAGTGGTTAATGATAATTAAGGTTGATTATTGATGGTTAATGATAATTATATAATGTTAGGTAAGGCAAGGTCACAAACCAACCATATTTTGATGGTTGGTTTATACCACCCATTTTGGTAAATTTGAGGATGGTTTACTATTTCTTTACTAACATTGCAGGGCCTTATACTAGCTGGGTGATTGGGGATTGTGAACTAATCCATATGCATGGGAAAGCTATCAACCAGTATTTCATAAGATGGGATAGGGGCATTTTTAATGGCTCACCTGTTTTTTCTGTAGAAATGATGCTGGAAAAATACCAATGGATACCACATGATACCACTGGCTTTTGGATGACAAAATGGCCCCAAATGGAAATTACGGCATGTGCAAAAAATTGGCAAACAATGTGGTTTTACCGGTTTACCGGATAAACATGCTGGCTCTTGCAAGATGCCCAGATGAGATTGGTTCGGAAGGGTTTTTTTCACCATTGGACGATCCCGAAACCAATTGGCATTGAACGTTCATGGCATTGGGCTTTTCTCATTGCCGATGCTGAAACCCGGTTTTCCATCCAATGGTTTTGATTTGCCGTAAATCCCACTGGACAAAGCCAGGGGATGTTAAAGGATGATCTAGGTGGAGATAATGGTTGGTGGATTGGACAGGAAATCGTGGATGCAACCAGTGCTACTTGGTGTAGAATTTTGCGCAGGTGGATTCAGGTGGATAGAACATTATGGAACTGCATATATTGTAACGGAATTTTTGGCTGTGATGCTTAGGAATTAAAGACTGGCCCATCATGGGATAGCAGTAGGATCAGATTGGCACTTGAGTAATTAGCGGTACACACATATATATATACACATATATATATACTGTATACATATATATATATATACATATATATATATAGACACTTGTAAAAGTGTATTGTATGTTGCTGAACAGATTCGCAAGTGTGTATGTTCTCAGTGGATTCAACTGGTGTATTTGGTGATTTTCATATTGACGTATAACTACCAGCTGCTACTGGCTTGGTAAGGGTCCTGAGCTGAGCATAGGCCCCGACCCACTGTTTCGTAACCCCCAAGTAGATAGAGTAAATCTCATTACTTCCCATGAAAATAGTGCTGAAATGTGATGAAAATAATTTTTCTAAGTTTTTGAGGGTTGCATAGGGTTGCTATATAATCTATATATAATCTGGCCAAATTTTTCTTATTGAAACCATGACCGAAACGGCCAGGGAGCATGGCTACACTCGCGGATGACGGTACTACGGTACCGATTTAAGTGAGCGGAGGCCACAAACAGCAGAAAAACAGGTGGGAAAGCTGGGAAAATCCCCGCGCCAAATGGAGGATTCTAATGAGAAATGGGACAATTCCAACAAGCCATGTTTGATGAGTGGAATGAATAAGCACCAAATTGGTCAAGACTGATTCGAAATGAAAGAAACCATGCAACATGCTGGCCCTCAAGCGATTGTTTAGTACGAAGGGTGACGGCACTCGGAGCACAACCATGTCCCCCGCAGCGGAACCCAAGCAGTTGTTTCAGGACAGTCAAAGATTTTAGGGCTCCAAATGATGGACAGTTGTGATTCATGCCAAACAATTTTCATTGTCTGGGGGCATGGTCCATCACCCCAGTGGGGTCAAAGTTGTTTTCACCCCCGATGACCTTTCTGTGACTGCGCCGTCCATGAAAGCAGCTTTCAATGGTGGTCCTGGCCCTTGGTTCTATGAGTGTTCCATCAGAAGGCTAGTATGGCTAGTACCTTTTGGCAGCAAGAATATTTGTTACGAGCTTAGGCAGCTTAGCAGCTTAGGATTGTGTGATTAAATCATATTCAACCCATATATTTTGCTTCCGCCTTCATGAAAATTGGGGGATACCGAGTAGCCTGAGCACTAGGTCAACATGGCATGTGAAAAGGCCCCGAATCGGATGGCCAACTCGTCAATTTTGTGAGTTATTTGGAGTAAGTGCCCGAAGGCAAAGAACTGGCTCAATTGGAGACAGTGAATTCAATTTTCCCAGGAAGAGATATATCCATCTGCAGAAGTCGGGCGGAAATCACATGATTTTCTTTCGATTCGACAGGTTGCTGACTGACAAAAATAGCTGATTGAGTAATTGAATTGATCGATGGATAGAATAAGAATGAATAAGATAAGATAAGTAGTTCTTTGAAGCAGGTCTTCTCGGAGCTATTCAACTGTCTAAACATATCTACTGTAAATCTATCAACATAATTCAGCACATATTATCGAATTATGATTCATGATGAATTTAATTCTATTGGCAAAGTTCAGACGATAGCCAAACCTCACTTTATAATTCTGATTTATCACGAGGAGCGATAGCGATAGGATGCCTTGAAGAATATCTTTATCTCAAATTATCAATCAGTTTTTTCTGGCCATCTCGTATTCAAACTCTAATTATTGGAAATATAGAGTTTATATACTGAGACCTTTCTTAAACTCATTTGACTACGATCAGTTATCGAGTAAATTCTCCTACCGTAAGTAAGAGATAGAGTTAAATCAATAAAAACAAACGGATATGATATATATATATATGTATATATATATGTGTACATATATATATGTACACATATATATATATATGTACATATATATATATATGTACATATATATATATATATATATATGTATATATATATATATCAATAGATATGTAAATATATGATAATGTATGAATATATTGTGCATTCTTAAATTTTACTTAGATCTATATCAAGGCTATATCTTTTATATTTCAATATACAACATGAAAGAAGCGTAAAACATCTACATATATGAGATTTATATTATTCTTATTTTGCATATTTGTTTTGGATTGATGAGGCGAACACTACTGTTGTTCTACATGTTTCATCTTGCTGACTGAGCCGCGTATCTTCAAGGTTGGGTCAACCTTTGGTAGGTAGTTCTTGGCAGCTTAAAAGAGAATTGCTTTTATCGGTGATTGTTATGGGGCATCATGGTGATATGATTGGGATAACCAATATATATATAGTGATATGCTTGGTGGTTTGAATTTAAGAAAAACACATTTTTTTTTCATCCTACCTGGGACGTTTGATCCCAAATGACGAGCATTGGCGAGTGCAATGGCGACCGGAGGAAGTCTCCAGGTGTTGGCGGTTTGATCCATTGCTGATGGGAGGTGGGGATCGGTGATGAACTGTGGATCGCCATCAGAACTCAAAATAGTCGTATGTATTTTCACAGGATATGTCCTGATATATACGTGTATATACATATACAATCATATACATAGATAAAGCGGGTGACGGACATACACTAAATGAACATCATTTTAATTTTGTTCTTGACAGATTTCCAGTATATATATATATTTTGGATAAGCCAAATTACGTACACCAAGGGAACTATATACATATATCTATGTGTATGACTCGGTCCGTGGCCTTCCGAACCCCGGAAGGGTAGGCGTACATTATATACATGATACATTGTACATGTATAGATTGTATAATAATTATTATATATAGATGTTTGGATGATGTATAATGTATATAAGGTATGATTACATACATTATACATGCACAATCATATGTATATATATATATAATATTATACATATATATATACACATGATGTACTATTCACAGTTACTCCGTTGTACAGATATGAAAAACAAAATGCCACTACCATCGGCCCAGGTGAGGCGTTGGTGTGACGGCCCAGGTGGGCGAGCCCAGAGGGTGGAGGAGATGGAAGACATTGAACGAAAATCACCATTTTTAATGGCAAAATCACCATTTTAATGGATAAAAATGAACCAAAAACATGGATAAATCACCTTTTTTAATGGATAAAGCATGACAAAACATGATAAATTGCCTAAAAATGGGTCATTTTCCATAGCAATGTTAGCTACTATACTAGGATATATAGTATATACTTTAACAAACTCAGTGATTTAGAGCAGTTGAGTTAATCAACAATTAGATTACAGTCATGATGTACAACGGGTCAGCGTTGATCCGATGGCCAGGTGCATGGCACAACGGCTGATCCGTTGGGATGCCTGGAAAACCGCAGTGATGACCAGCAGATGTGAAATTGTAATCATACACATACATACATACATACATGCATGCATGCATGCATACATACATACATACATGCATCCATACATCCATACATACATACATACATGCATCCATGCATCCATACATCCATACATCCATACGTACATACATACATACATACATACATACACACATACACACATACACACATACACACATACACACACATACATACATACATACATACATACATACATACATACAGACACACACACACATACATACATACATACATACATACATACATACATACATACATACATACACACACACATACATACATACATACATACATACATACATACATACATACATACATACATACATACATACATACATACATACACACAGACATACACACAGACATACATACATACATACATACATACATACATACATACATACATACATACATACATACTTACATACTTACATACTTACATACTTACATACTTACATACTTACATACTTACATACTTACATACATACTTACATATATATATATATACATACATACATACATATATATACACACATATATATATATACATGTATGTATATATGTATATATGTAAATATGTATATATTATACGTCTAAACAAAGACATTTACACAGCTATCGGAGAATGATCTTCGCCCTATGAATCGGATTCCAAGGAATTTGTTCGAACAAGTCGATTGACCAAACCCTCACAAGAGTGATTTGGTACCAAGTGGTGGGGTATGTGCCGAAGACCCTTGTTTTGTGTCCATTGAGAAATCTTTTTTCTGTGAAGGATCGGAAACACGAGACTAGATTAAATGCGACACATAGAAAGGTATGACATTTGCAAAGCACCAAAAGCAACTTACCCACTTCAAACATCTTGGCCATTTTGAAATGGAACAGATACACATTTTCAAACATCCTTTTTTTCACGATCCCAACGTGCCATATCTGGGGCTCCCGCTTCGAAGTCCTCCAGCTGCTTGGAGGCTATTTCACCATCCTGGGGCCTTGCCCTGAATCCCTGCAGGCGCGACCCAGTGGATTCAAGGGAGAATTCATGGATGAAACCATTGAAAAACCCTGATTTTCATGGGAAAAACATGGGAAAAACCCATGGAGAAATCCGTTTCAAGGATGATTTTCCCACGCACATCGCTGGTGATGCCTCAAGTTCATTTATTCAAACTTTTATGATAAGCAAAGAGCGAGAAACCTTCAATTAATGTACCACTAAGAATAATTGATGTAAAACATTGTAGAATATGATTTTGCTCAAATCTGAGTCCCCAAACAGATCGCAAAGTAATTTTCCTACTAAAACAGTGTTGTCGATGACTTCAGGGGGAAAAAGTCGAGCAGTTGGGGAACTCCCTAAACTTGAAACTGCTGAATTTCCCATTCATCTTTATTGGTATGTGACAATTCTTCATCCGATTCTAATTTTTTCTCGTTTTCTGCCAGTTCCATATGTTCCATGTATTGGATCAAGATTTTCGTTGGTTCACTTCCGGTTTTTGTTGGTGTCCATCCCATTCGTTTGATTCAGTTTCCATGTTTTTCGGTTGTCATATGTTGTCTTGCCATAAATTATTTTTCACACATTTACTTTTAACAAAGCTGTTTTCATCCCAACTTTTCACTGATTGACCCCCCCCCCCTGTGATGTGCTTTGGGCACCAGGAGGGCTTGAAATCGCTGGAGCAAGGCGCGCGAAATGTTTCCGGGATTTCAGTGTGGGCTGTGCTTGCTTCCTTTGTGGGGCCGGGCATGTGCCAGAAAATTGCTAAACAAATCGGGATATCCCAGTATATCTAAAGCACTTCTGGAAAGACAAAGCTAAGATATCTGTGTATACACGTAATGTATATGTGTACACCTACATACAATATACTGTACAATATTACACAATGTATGTTTCCATATCTGGACAACCCATTCTTGGTAAAGCTAGGTTTGGCAGTTTGACGGCTTGAGTCTCAGCCATAGAGGAGCTGAGTTTAGCTAGCCCCAACAAGATACTTCCATTAGCATGATCTATCTTGCCCTGTGCTTACAAAGGTCCTAATTTTATATAATTACTTCTCCAACAAAATGCAGGTGATAATCCTAGGTGTCTAAACCCAAATTATATGATCCAGACACTCGTCTAACAATTTAGTTGTCCAAATGCTAACCTTCATGTGCGCACACCCCTTTACCACGGATTGCAGACAGATTGTGCTGGCAGCTCAATACACTGTAAAACGAGAAAGCCTCTGGTTATTTTTCCATGGTTTGCTGGAAAATCAGCCTTAAAGTAATCGATAAATCCTCATGTTTATATATCTATTTCTATGGGCTATTGACTTCCAGTTTGCAAAGTGTTAAATCACCACAGAGTGATGTATCAGGCCACCCTTGATGAGCGCAGGTACCAAGGCCCAAGACGTGACTTTCAAAGCCACTGCTTTGGAACGATTCCCTTTGGAGGACTCTGGGGGGTTTTAGGGGTTGTTCGGGAAGTCGAAACATGGGATGCGTGTTTTGCTTTTCTACATTACTATTTTTTTTTTAAATCCTAATGCCCACATTATACAAGATGACATACATACATACATACATACATACATAACATAACATTACATAACATTACATAGCAATACATAACATTACATTACATTACATTAGATTACATCATATTATATTATCTTATACTATACTATACTCATTATATTATATTTTTGATCTACCCCCCGCCCAGTAACAGCAGATAAATGATTTTCCTTTAACCTACTCTTTCAAAACGAGCACAAGGAAATTGCTCCAAAAATCTCGGCTAGGAGGTGCCCAAAAAGAAAAACGTCAACCTGCCCTCCAAACCTCTGATACAGAATTCAAAATTCAAGACAGGGGCTTCACTTTCAAGATCTTTCAAGCATATCAGTTGCATTCCAACATTGAGAAAAGAAGAGCGCAGACTACAGACAATACATTCATGTGTTACCCTGAGAAGGTGCGAGCAAGGCGTCTGCATCGAAGCAAGGACTAGAACATATTGTGAAAGGATTTGGCCGTTTGATGCAACTGGCACAATGCACCGTAATGTGCCCAACCATGGAGTCAGATTGGCCATGTGGGAAAATGGAAATGTTATATACTTGGCAACCATCCTAAACTTTAAATTCTAAACCCCGAGCCCATTCGAACCCTAAATCGCGAAACTTCATTGACGCGTAAGTACCAACCGCCAAAACCAGCACAAGCTAGACACAAAAAGAGCACAAAAAAACACAAAAAAAACATTAAAAACCACAAAAAAAGCAAACAAAAACACAAAAAAGCACAAAAAAAAGCACAAAAAAGCACAAAAAAAAACACAAAAAAAAGCACAAAAAAAGCACAAGGAGACTGCAAAAATAATTCCGAAAAAAATGAAAAAAATTAGCCCGGGCAAGGGAAGGTCCAAAGGGACGACAAAGCGAGCACCAGGGCGACCACAAGAAAAGCACAATTCGAGCACCAGCCGAGCACAATTTGAGCACCAGCCGAGCACAATTCGAGCACCAGCCGAGCACAATTTGAGCAACAGGCGAGCACAATTTGAGCACCAGCCGAGCACAATTTGAGCACCAGCCGAGCACAATTTGAGCACCAGCCGAGCACAATTTGAGCACCAGCCGAGCACAATTTGAGCACCGGCCGAGCACAATTTGAGCAGCACAATTTGAGCACCAGCCGAGCACAATTTGAGCACCAGCCGAGCACAATTTGAGCACCAGCCGAGCACAATTTGAGCACCAGCCGAGCACAATTTGAGCACCAGCCGGGCACAATTTGAGCACCAGCCGAGCACAATTTGAGCACCAGCCGAGCACAATTTGAGCACCAGCCGAGCACAATTTGAGCACCAGCCGAGCACAATTTGAGCACCAGCCGAGCACAATTTGAGCACCAGCCGAGCACAATTTGAGCACCAGCCGAGCACAATTTGAGCACCAGCCGAGCACAATTTGAGCACCAGCCGAGCACAATTTGAGCACCAGCCGAGCACAATTTGAGCACCAGCCGAGCACAATTTGAGCACCAGCCGAGCACAATTTGAGCACCAGCCGAGCACAATTTGAGCACCAGCCGAGCACAATTTGAGCACCAGCCGAGCACAATTTGAGCACCAGCCGAGCACAATTTGAGCACCAGCCGAGCACAATTCGAGCACAATTTGAGCACCAGCCGAGCACCGAGCACAATTTGAGCACCAGCCGAGCACAATTTGAGCACCAGCGCGAGCACAATTTGAGCACCAGCCGAGCACAATTTGAGCACCAGCCGAGCACAATTTGAGAGAACACCGAGCACAATTTGAGAGCACAATTTGAGCACCAGCCGAGCACAATTTGAGCACCAGCCGGGCACAATTTGAGCACCAGCCGAGCACAAAAAACCGAAAACAGTAAAACCAAAAAAGTCAACTGCGCCAGCCCCAGCCCCAGCCCCAGCGCCAGGCCCAGCCGCAGCCCCAGCGCCCCCAGGCCCAACCCAACCACCCCAGCCCCCAGCACCCCAGCCCAGCCAAGCCCAGCCCCAGGCCCAGCCCCAACCCCCCACCCTTACGTTTGGTGGTGGTGGTTGTTGTGGTGGTGGTGGTGCTGCTGCTGCTGCCGCTGCTGGTACTGCTGGTTGTGGTGGTCGTGGTGGTGCTGTCGCTGGTGGGGGGCGGTTGTTGTTATTGTTGCTAGTTGTCACATTGCTAAGGCTGTTGTAGTTACTAAGAATTGCTAAGGTTTCCAACGGAATGTTGGTGATAAGTTGGCCAGTCCCTAGCAAATCTGTAGCAGCCAGAGCCGAGAAGAGAGAAACAGACACCTGTGCAGCTTGATTCCTTCCGATTCACATGAAACATTTTTTCAACCATTTGATGATTTACATATTCATGCTGTCTACCTGATCCTTTTTTTGGTTTTGGTATAAGAATTTATCTGTATCATATCACCAGATTAGACCCTTATTTTCTGCATTTGGCTGGTGCTCATTTTGTGCCCCTGGCTTGTGCTCACTGTTACTGCCCCGGGGGTAGGTCAAAATTATATTATATTATATTATATTATATCATATTATATTATATTATAATAACTTAAATTAAATTATATTATATCATATTATACTATTTCATTTCATATCATATTATATTATATCATATTATATTATATCATATTATATTATATCATATTATATTATATCATAATAAATTATATTATATTATATTATATCATATCATGTTATATTATATTATTTCATATCATATTATATTATATTATATCATATTATATCATGTCATATTATATTACATATATCATATTATTTTATATTATATCATATCATATTATATTATACTATACTATATTTTATTACTATATATATAATATTACTGTATATTATACAATATAATATAATATAATGTACTGTAATATAATATAATATGATATGATGTAATATAATATGATATGAAATATAATATGATATATATATATATACACATTTGTCTGGTCTCTACTATGGAGGAGTAGCCTCAATGAGTTCATGAAGATTGCGTTGCGTTGGAACGCCCATTACATCTCTAAGATGTTTGGGAGCCATCTCAGAATGGACAAGAGGCCACTGCAAAGTTAGGCCCAGGATCAAATGACTTGTCAACTTTTGGGAATGGACTTCTCCATTTGTTCATAGGGCCAATTCTAACCTGGACATGTTTGGAACCCTCTGGGAAGCTTGGCGCAGCCGAGATCGGGAACCAGGATGATGATGTGCCACTGAGCCCTTTGCTCCAAACCTTGCCAGAGTTTTGCTTCAAGGCCACCGATGTCAGGTGACAACTGGGGACAGGGATAGACCCCACAGTATGTAGCTGTTGAAATATAGGCAAGATGATGACTAAGCAGTAGATTCAATGGGGTACCCTATTTCAGACAAACCCAACGGAAATTCGTTGGGACTCCAATGGAACCACGGGCTTTTGCTGCGACACTTGGATGTATAAAGGCTCCAAACCTTTCAGAAGCAAACTTGGCTGCATCATGGGCATGAGAAGAAACAACTGGAAGAAAACCGAAAACCATCCATCATGTGTTTGTAAAAACTTTTAAAACCCAAATCCGACTTGACAACTTCGACGAGACTGAGGAAACCTTGTCTTGCTAGCTGCTAGCTCGCTCAATTTGGTGCCACAAAGGGGTGAATATTTCATCCTAATGTAGCTGTTGCCTTTAAAGCGGATGGTCAAATCCCTATTTTTGTTAGTTGACTCCACATTATTGTTGATTGAAATCCACTGAATCCATTTTTTTTGGATAACTCAAATCGGACTCACTAAATTTGAATCTTTGTTGGAAACGATTCCAATTTTTTAGTGGGACAATCACCATGTTCGTTTCTTAGCCCCGTTCTGCTGGTGAAAAATCCTCATGATTTGTAGGGTACGATCGGCCACTGCAGGGGGTCCGCAGGACGGGTTGCAACTGTTGAGCGTGAAACCAAGCCCTTCGCCTTTCTTCGCCTCCTTCGTCTTTAGCACGGAGAAGGGGGGCCGGGATACCCAGCACCTAACCGTTACCGGTAGGTCAGCGGTGGAGCAAGTGGGGTATACCAGCCACATGGCTGTTGAAGAAAACTGGGAGTATCATAAACCACTGGATTTAAAGGGAGCATTTTAAGACTAAGCCACCTAGATGTGTATAAGTAGAGATTCGTTTCACAAATCTTTTCAGGGTAAATATATTGAGATTGTTGGATAGTGTGGAATAGATATAGCCAATGGGTATTTGAAGTGGATCACGCCAGCCATGAAACCTGAAGGAACCATGGAAAGTCGCAGCCCTCCCAGGAAGGGTTCTGCTGATGCTCACTGGCTATATCCAGAAGTTGTCTGAGTTCCATCGAGTGATTTCGAGTCACCCTCCGGCGAACATGTACTGTACGGAAATCCATCTCATTTTTGGGGGAACATCATGCACCGGTGGATATACTGTATATACGTATATAATATAATTGTGCATATATATATATATACATACACATATAAATTATGTATGTATGTATGTATATATATATATACATTATATCTATCTATTATATTATATTGTATTATATATAATATAATAGGTATGGGGGAGTTCCCATTGCCAAGTCCGATCGGAGTGCAACAGTGCGCAGCTGCTGGCCCGGACCACTTGGTAAGACAAGAGTCAAAGCCAGGCCTTTGGTTAAGTCTCAAGGCGGCAATTGGCAGTTGCTTCAGTTGTTGACCTTGGCTTTTTGGTGCCTGCTGGCAGGGCTGAACACACATCGCTTTGTAGCCAGTCTGTGTTTCAGTTATTCCACGTTGCCAAGCCTCTAATCTTTGGGGATTGGAATTGAGAACAGTGACATAGAGATCCAAGCAATCGATGCGACCAGCTCAATTTGCACTTCAGTTGCTGGAATTGGAACAGCTCACTGAGTTTAGTAGGAGGGGTGTGGTTCTTACTTCTTAATGTAAGAGATCCTGATCGCCAATTTTTTTTGCCCTTGCTGCCTTGTTTCCCAGCCATGTCTCCCTGCATGATCACTGCTGGTTGACACTGCTGCCTTGTCTCCCTGCATGATCGCTGCCTTCGCTGTCGCTGCTGCCGGCTCTCCCTGCCATGTCTCCCAGCCTTGTCTCCCTTCATGATCGTGACGGACAAAAATGCGAACTTGAAGACTGCTAAAAATCTAATTGCATATCTGGAGTCTATGCTGGTAATTTTCTATAGCTGTTTTGGTTGGCTAAGAAAGCCCAGGTTGTTTATGGTTGTTTGGTGCGAGCACAAGTCGTCCATTTGAGTGCTTTTCTCGAACCCCGATATCCGAGGTGATGTTCTGAAGAGTTTGTCGATCTAACGGGTGTTGGAGATGAGACCAGGCTCGCACATGTTTTGCAGCTAATGAATGCAATGTGGTTGGACAAAGACATCGACATCAACTGGGTGGTGGTTCAGACGCTTCAGCCACATTCGGCTTGGATTTTCTATCCGATCCGAGATGATTATCATCCCAGTTGACGAGCACGTTTTTTGGAAGGGTGATTAAACCACCACCCAGTTAGTATGGACTTTGTGCATGTTTGCGATGTCAATCTTGAAATCTGGTGTATTCTTCAGCAATGTGCAGCCTGACCACAAATTCTATACACCTTGTCACGGCTTGGCTCAAGCGATCTAGCTTTCCTACTTTGAGCCTTGACTTATCCATGACTTAAAAGTCCCTTGGCATACAGCTCCAGCAACATGAAGCTGTGTGTCCATGGCCCTGGGGGTCATCAGTGGGCAGAAATGCAATGAATCCAATGAATGCGACAGCAATTCTCATTTGCACGTCGCCACCAAGACCACCAAGGTCACCAAGACCAAGACCACCAAGACTCATGATCGCCGAATTCGTGAATTTCGGCTCAATGATGGGTTGGTTGAGCTCAGTGGAGACCCAGGTATCCTGATTTCATTCTCGGGTACCCCGGGATGCCTTTGGATCCTGGACGTCGATGCTGACCAGGTGGTTCACTTCATGACTATTATTGGGACTATTGGGACTTCCAATTTTGACGCCCAGGGCTTGGCGACGGTTACGGGACTTCCCACCCCGCCTCCAACTTTCGGCCTGTTCTTCACACCGCTTTGTCCTGCTCTGGGGCAAAATCTCCAAGCTGACCGAGGCGGCATGTTTTCGACCGTGGTTTTTTTTTACTACGACTACATTCTTGTGCCAGGTAGTGCCGCTAGTGTACCCAACCTAGAAAACCTGCGAAGCACTATAGCGTACAATGTTGGGGGGAATGTCATCATCCCATGGATCAATTCGCCAGCATCCCGGGTCTACCGCGTGGGAAATGATGGACCCTGGTTCCAAGTTGACAACAATGGAAACATCTTTGATCAGGACGGCAACCAAGTCTCTCTTAACGACAACTCAGGCGTGACTGGTGATCCGCATATCCATACTTTGGATGGCGGCCATTACACGTTGCTGCGAGAAGGGTCCTTCTTGCTCTGGCGCTTTGGCTTGCCGCAGCCCCACGTGGAGTGGCAAATCTTTGCCCACTATGCCGGACGCCAGTCCTTCACCAAAGGCCTTTTGTTGGTCGACACTTCGGGTTCAGAGCCATCCAGCATGGAGATCACTTCGGAACGCTGCGAATGGCAAACCCAGAGCAACTCCAAGAAGTGGTCATCAGTCAACTCAACACTTCCTGAAGTGCTCCTTTCCGGCCCGTCTTCTCATATGAAGCTGGTTGGCAACCAGCGCAAGGACATGCAGAAGATTGAACTCTTCGTTGCTGATGAGAAAGTTCCAGATGTTCCAGTCGCCACATTGAAAGTAATGTGTCGGCCAGGCCGTCACATCAACCTGAAGCTCCACATGGCGAACGAGAAGTGGAAATACTTTGTAAGTGGGGAGCTCAAGGGCCAAAAAGGCCCAAAGCACATGCCAACCTCGAAGAGATCAATGCTGCAGCTGGCCGCAAGAGAAGACGAAGAGTTTGAGGTGAAGCAGACTTGGGCGGAGCTTGGTGGTAGCTCTCACGCCCAGCACTACCTTCAAAACTTTGATGAGCATCCCACCAATCTGATGTTGCTCCAGACGTGTGACCACCAAGCACAGGCTGATGCCAGGGTTCTCTGCCAGAAACACTTGGGAACTGTGGCGCATTCCAGCTACTTGGAGGAGTGTGTCTACGATGTTTGTGCAGGTGGAGGAGAAGAGGCGGCAGAGATGACGGCAGAGATGCTGAAATTCTGAGCGGCCCCGGCCGGCAAATGGGCGAGGAAGGCAGAGGTTGTAGCTAGGCTTAGTTTCAAACTTTCCAAACATTTGAACGCAAGGCTCCCTTTGCTGCTTGCAAAAAGCGTTTGGTCTATGCATAGAATTGCGAGCATGGCAGATGGATACGCGCAACACCTGACACATGGGGTACTCCCAGACCAATCGTTTTCTTTCTTGTGAACCTTATTCTTGATATATTTGGGTTCGTTTTTTGATATATCTTCCTGTTTGATCCTATATGGAGACTTGCCTACGCATACGAGCCATAACGAGCCCCTAAGATCAGAGTCTGTCACTCAACTGTCCGCAGCACTGCATCGCTCCGTGGTCCAGGAATCATTGTGCTGTTCTTCAGCTACTTCTCTTGACGGCTTGACATTGCTTTCAAGGAGGGCATTGGCTCGGACTGGGCCGAATTTCATATTGGACACTGACATCAGCAATGGTCAAGCCATTAAGGGTTAATGATGGGGGATGGTCATCAGTTATGGGGGGCCTGATAGGAATGTTGGTAGTGTCTGCGGTTGTCAACCATGTTGTTCTTGTTGTCTTTGTTGTTGGTGGTGGTGTTGTGTTGTTGTACTGTTGTTGAACTGTTGTAGTGTTGCAGTACCGTTGTTGTGCTGTTGTTGTACTGTTGTACTGCTGTTGTACTGCTGTTGTACTGTCGTTGTACTGCGGTTGTACTCTTGTTGTATTGTTGTCGTGCTGTTGTCGTACCGTTGTTGGACTGTTGTTGAAGCGCTGTACTGTTGTTGTACTGTGGTGCTGTTGCACTGTCGTTCTGTTGTATTGCTCTACTGCTGTACCGCTGCCCGGGGTACTGTTGCCTTGTTGCTTCTTGCTTGTTGATTGTCGCATTGTTGCATTGTTGGACTGTTCCACTGTTTACTGTTTTACTGTTTTACTGTTTTACTGTTTTACTGTTTTACTGTTTTACTGTTTTACTGCTGCTGCTGCTGCTGTTGGTGTTGTTGTTGGTGTTGTTGGTGTTGTTGGTGTTGTTGTTGTTGTTGTGGTTGTGGTTGTGGTTGTTGTTGTTGTTGTTGTTGTTGTTGTTGTTGTTGTTGTTGTTGTTGTTGTTGTTGTTGTTGTTTTTGTTGTTGTTGTTGTGGCTGTGGTTATTACGTTGTCGTTGTCGTTGCCGTTGCCGTCGTCGTCGCCGCCGCCGTCGTCGTCGTCGTCGCCGTCGTCGTCGTCGCCGGCCGCCGTGTGCCGTCTTCGCCGTCGTCGTCGTCGTCGCTGCCGCCGCGGTCCGTCGTCGCAGCGGCGGCGTCGTCGTGGTGGTGGTGTGGTGGTGGTGGGGTGGTGGTGGTGGTGGTGGTCGTGTTCGTGGTCGTGGTCGTGGTGGTCGTCGTGGTCGTCGTGGTCGTGGTGGCCGTGGCCGTGGCCGTGGTTGTGGTGGTGTGATGGTGGTCGTTGTCCTCGTCGTTGTTGTCGTCGTCGTTCTTGTTCTTGTTCTTGTCCTTGTTCTTGTTTTGGTCCTTGTTCTTGTGCTTGTCCTTGTTCTTGTCCTTGTTCTTGTTGTCCTTGTTGCCCTTGTTGTCCTGTCCTTGTGTTGTCCTCTTGTTCTTGTATTGTGCTCTTGTTCTTGGTGTCCTTGTTCTTCTCGTTCTTGTGGTGGGGACGTTTGTCAGCTCCATTCCAATAGATGGCCGCAAATGCGATTTTTAACGGAATGGAACTGGCACCATCAGTGATTCTGAACAGGCTGTGCAGCACAGCCAAAAAGGATCAAAAAGGCAAACAACAACAGCATCTTGCCAGGAAAAATTGGGGTCCATGGTGATTGCAACATTGCTATATATCCTTCTCACAGCTGCTAAAGTGACTCACATCCAGCATATTACTTGGTCGTTTGTATGACATGGCATGACTTGTTGATGGTAACAAAGAATGATGCAAATCTACGAATTCCTTCATGGAACTGCCAGAAGCTGTATGTTGATTAGGTAATACAGGATGATCCAGGCTGCAGACTTGACATTGTGCAGAGTTGCACTCATGCATGTCTTTGACAGGAAGCAATGACATCGATGGTCTTCATGATGTTGTTTGGACCTAAGATCACCTTAACCAGATTGACACATGAAAACACCGCGAAGAGAGGGACAGAAGATCTGACGATTGATTGTTCTGACTTTTTCGAACCACATTCTTCTGGGACCAATCGTAGGTCAGGATGTGGCTAAAACTCGGATGAAAGAACCAGCCGGGCACTGAGAGCAAAGTAATAAGATCGAACAAGATCGGATGGGATGAGATGCCAAAGAGATGGAATCTCACACAATGCCTGCAATATGTTAGGTGCATCCATGCCAGATCAAACCAGCAGATTCTCACATCTTTCTTGTCACCTTACGGACATGTCCTTCAGCAAGATACGGGGGAACCCCAAAGGGAACGTCATTTCCGTCGTCTCTCTGTTCCTTGTACTGGTTCGTATCCTGTAGCAAGGAGGAAAGTTTAGGGGGATTTCCTTACGACACACACATGCTACCGCAAGATGTTGTCTTTGGAAATTCTCTGTTGAGGGAATGGCTCACAACATGTGGGAGCCTGCGTCCCATCATGCACAGGAAAACTATGGAACCTCGAAGGATTGTAGAGCTGACGGAACCACTCAACAGAAGGTCAGCAGCCAGAAAAGTCAACTTGTGGGAATCAGCACGTAGAGCTCACTTTCAGTACAGCAGCTAGCAAATCAACGCACCCCCCTATACAGATACATACATGTACATACATATGTACAACTTTCTGGGCATTCTCTATGCCTGTTCTTTTGACATGACATGTCTACTGAGGCCGATGGCCGTTTTACGAAGCTGTGCCCTCAGCCAAGGCGGATTCCACCCCGATCGCAGCATGATGGTCATTGGATGTCATTGGTGTTTTGGGGATAGGCGTGTGCTATGTCAAAACTAGGAAGGCCTTGGATATGACTGGTGTATTCAACGTATTCTGTGAGATGTTCAAACTAAATACGTTTGAAAACGAGTGGTTCAAGTTCAGATCAGGCTTTAGGCTCGCTATATCAGTGCTTTCCCACACCACCGCCATTCAGAAGTCTCAGCAAAGCAACAAACAGTCTCAAGCCGTCTTCGTGCTGACTTTTGGACATGTCACAGGCATTTCCAATGCATAAAACATCACAATATCAATGGATTGGTTTAAGGGAAAATCTACAGGAAACCATAGATTTTTCCATTAAATATGGGGTTTTCTTGTAAATTTCCCCTTAAACCAATCCATTGACAATAGAACAACTTTCCTTCGTCCCAGACCCGCTGGTCACTAGTCACTAGTCACGAGGGGCCTGCAGTGTGTGTTACGATACAACGGCACCCTGGGTTTTGACATGTCTCTGTGATGAAGCCCGAAATGGTTGGTACAAAGATGCTCCGTGACCTGACCAAATTCATACCTTGATTGGTTCAAAACAGCGTAGGCATCAGCCAATCTGCTGGCCTCGCGCAGGAGTTTGATGTGTCCGAACATCTCCTTCTCTGTTGAGACGGTGAATGCCTTCCATAGGAATGGAAACATACGAAGGACGGATGGAACATCAATATGTAATCTCTTAAGGTAGGACAGAAGAGTGGTACCACGTGGTACCGTTATCAAACCAATGAAAGTCATGATTTTGGGGTATCCCTGTTTTGAGACAACACCATATGTCCTGTCCGCATTCGTGCATTTGGAGTGATTTGCTGCCGTTTTGGCAACCCACAGTCAAACGGCAAATGAACCGTTGCACGCCTTGGAAAGGGGTTCTGGCGGCGCAGCTTTTGGTGCCACAAAGGTGACTGACAATTGTTTTTTTTTTGCATGGAGGGCAGCTTTTCAGGGAGTTTTTGGCAGTTTGTTTCATGTTTGACTTGCTGTTTTCTGCTCAGACTGGGACTTTCAGACTGCTAACCAATGGTTATTGTCGGTTCATGGGCTCTCCTCTTGCAAATCCTGTCAGACTTCCATTTCCTTGAGGTAGACTTGTTGGTTAAATCATTGTTTTCGTTGGCTAAACCCCTATATATATATATATATTTGTTAGATATCATTCGTTGGTTAGTTCCATTTATTTTGGGACATCCTCATCTTTTGGTGAAGGATTTTAGCCCCTGAAGCCTGAGGCCGGTTGCACGTGGCATGCTTGACGGTGCACGAGCGCCTGCACGATCGGACGGCGGGAGGCCGGGTAGGAACAACAGTCGTGTTGGTCTACCCTGCAGCAATGGGAACTTTTAATTAGCAGCCAAAATGGGGATTGAACCAACAAAAATATGAACACTGTGGTAATGTGGGATTCAAATGGATTTACATCAGCAGCAAAAGATAATGAGTAAGATTAGCAAGCAGCCGATAGAAACGTGGATTTTATCAACGAGTTTTGCAGCCAAAATGGGATTTTTTGTCCGCCGGCAAACAAACGTAGCCTTGGAACATCTGATTGGTTTTGGAGCAACATCTATATACCCTCCGGTACTCAAACGTGGAAATGGACAATCCCCAATTTGTAGGTGATATTCCCATGAAAGCCTCCATTTGTAGGGAATTTACCATTGCCACGTTTCATTACCAAACATACATGTCATTTCTCTTTGCCTGCTTTGGTCTATTGGAAGGATTCATGGCTGCTGGATTTTTGCCATACAATGAGCCACGAAAAATGGGGATGTCGCCAGCAAATATCGTGTCAAGATGGAATATGCTGTCGAATCTGGTATCGGCAACGTTTCCATTGTTGAATTTCCAAATCTGCTGGTTGAATCACAGTTTTTGTGAGTAAACTTGTGTTTTTTTTGGTGGTTAAACCATCGTTTTGTTGCTCAATTGCTCAGCTCCTCACACCTGTTCACCAATTTTCCTGATTCCTGATTGCTTCGTTCGACAGGGGTTGGAGCCCATGACCGGAAACAAGCGAGATCACACTGCCATTTTCTGACGGTTACCAAAAGGTGGGCTTAAACTAGTTTTATCATATACCTTCCAATAGACTCAGAGTTTGCGGCTATGGAAAAACCCTTTGGTTCGATCACTTACCTGAAAACATGGCGATTCTCCATAGTTATGTTAAATTATGTACCATAAATTGCCAGGGGGTACACTATGACTACAATGGTCTCACATCGAGTCGAATCTAGAATCTATCCTGAATGGTGAATTTCCCCTGTAACACCTTATTTTTTGCGGGCCAAAATCCACATTCCTGGGCGTTTGTGAGGACCTTACTACACGTCGAAGGCTGGATTTGGCTGGAAACGCCGCACAAGCCACTGGCGAGGTTTAGCAAAACAACCGGCAGATTCTTCGGACTATGGTTGATTGGAATGAATATAGCCCACTATACTCGACAACCATGCATCGTTTCGACTGTCCACCACGCTGCCAGAAATAATCGGGCATCGATAGAGGGATATCCAGCCCACTTCCGTCCCGGCAATATCCCATATCTTTCACCTCCTTCAAATCAGCAGTGGGGTTCCCGAATAAAACGGATGGCTCTCCCGCTGGCCAGGGTACGTTTAGGTCCAGCATGGTGTGGCCGCAGCCCCGGAATCTAAATGGGGATGCCTCAAAACCTATTATCACCGTATATGGGGGAAAAACCGTCGATTAGCCAGCTATTTTAGGGTACCATCCGGGTACCAGGGTTTTGACCTATAGCTCATAGCCAAATAATTCAATGATTGCTTATAGAACTGCCGTGGCCCGCAGGCGTTATGCTTGGTTTCCCTCTTCCCCTGTTTGGAGCTTCTGAGAAGCTTGCCACGACCTCAGCGAAATCTTCACTGACCTGAAGAGTGGCTAATTTTGAAGCGCCATTCTTGTTGAACCACCATTTTTCATCATTTTTCAGGTTTGGAAATTTGGATACCCCAGTTGAAAAAGATGTGTGTATATATAATATATATATGGTTACACGCTCTTTATGGGGAACTCATTTAGGCACTTATTTTCACAAAACTCTATTTCAAAGTTTTGGTTTTCTGGTCAAATGGTCAAAGCCCCAAAATTCTTTGACCATTCCCAACACTTTGAAATGGGGAGCCTATTTTCTAAAGAAGGTGTGCCCTTAGAGCCTTAGATCCATCCAGCAATTTCTCCACGGAATACGAGGCACATCCAAACACTTTGCCCAGAAAACCAATACTTTGAAATGGAGGAGCCTCTCCTCTAGAGAAGCTTTGCCCCTAGGGCCATCCAACACTTTCCCTTTAAAATCCTTTAAAGAAGTTCTGCCCTTTGCACCATCCAGCACTTTCTCCATGTAATACCAGACTTTTTGACCAGAAAACCACCACTTTGAAATGGAACACCTCCTCTCTAAAGAAGTCTTGCCCCTAGGACAGCAGTTTCCTTAAGCAAAAAAATATAGCCTTCTGATTCTTGGTAATCCAGCACTTTCTCCATGGAATACCAAACTATTTGACAACCCCGCAACCGAAATGGAGAGCCTATTCTCTAAGGAAGGTGTGCCCTTAGATCCATCCAGCAATTTCTCCATGGAATACCAGGCACATCCAAACACTTTGACCAGAAATCACTACTTTGAAATGTCATTGCACCTTTGTAGAGAAAAAATAGCACTGCCTCATTCTAAAAGGATGTTACTTTTGAAAACTTCATTTTCGAGGTTCCCCAAAACGAGCATGGCGCCACAAATATATATATATATTATGATCATAGAATCTATCTAACACAAATGTGGATTATGCACATGTATATATACATGGCATGGGATTGCAGAAAATTATGGAATGTGCGACGTGGATTTCTCGACGTCATAAAGGCCTGTCGCTCACATTTTTGCGGTCCCATCAAGGGGTCGCAATCAAGCAGTCATTCATTCAATTTTGAAGTCCTGGTCTTACCTTGCTATCTTTCTGGCGGCTCGCATACAGACACAAAGATATACAAACAATATACAATACAATCAACACCTGATGTAATTGTACACATAGACATACACATACATGTACGTCCTCATAAATTGTGACGACCTCACTGTGATGTCACTTCAATGATGGTTAAAAGGGGCAACTATCCCAACATGTCTGAACTTTTCAGGTTGGTAAATGAGTCACTTATGTATCTAGATAAACTAATTTATATGCTAATTTACATACTACATTTTTTACAGACTATAGATGCATAATACATATATTATATATATAGATACATAATACATATATATATATATATTTAATTATTTAATATTATTTACCTATTTACATATGCATGTATATACATATGCCAAACATTAGTACTCGCACATTCATGATATATACATGGCTCAGGCTCTCCGATGTCCTGCTGGCAGCCCGCTTGGATGACCACGAAGTGGCCAAATCAGGCGACACAGCGGGGACGGTCCTGGTTGAAGTTCAAGATTTTCCTGGATGATGGAATACCAGTGGGGAAGAAATTGATATATATATATATATAAATAACACGTTTATATTGGTTTATGACATGTCATATATATATATATATTTGGGAATATATGATAATGAATAGGCACGGATATTGTGTTATTTCCTGGATTTGCTGAGATTGATTTCTTTTTTTTTAATATAATAGTTCCCCATTACTGGGAAGATAGCAATTTTGTGGGGGTGCCTAAAGCACATCCACAGTAGTTAAACAATGTAAGTTTTCAATATTTTTTGAGAACATCCAATGACATTTCTAGAGAAACAATTCGAGACTACTTGTGTGAGCCATTTTTGCCCTATGTACTTTTTTTGGTCCCACCACAAGTCTATAAGTCACAATGTAAAGATGCCAAGGGCAAGCTCTGTTTCCATCCATACAGGCGACGTCATTTCAGCCATGGGTACTTGGAACCATATTCACATTTGGTATGCCACCTGCTTCGTTGCAAGCCCATGAATCATTGGTGTAGGTGGTATATAGCCCTTTGTGGGTTTTTTAAATCCACATTTCAGCTTAAATCCACATCTTTGCTGGTGAAAGAGACATTTTTGCGGCTAATATCCACCGTTTTGTTGGCGAAATCCCATCGCCAGTTGATGTACCCTTCGAGCGGCTTGTGCCACGCCGCTGGGACGTAGGAAACTACTGAGAGATGAAGCCAACCAGTTGGGGCTGTTCATGGGTATAACAATGGTAATCACCTCCAAAAGTTGGGATGTAATCCCTACAACATGGTGACATCTAATCCACTCATGTGTGGAGCTGCACCAGCATGATCAAGCATGATTAATCAGCCAAAATGAGGTTTGAACCAAGGACTTTAGAGGGTTTTTGCTGGGATATCACTGGGATATAATTCGGATAATAATTAGAATATACCATTTGATAATCAAACATGGCACTGGACAAATCCCCCACTTGGTGTAGTTGGATCATTTTCCCAGCTATAACCCCCATTTATCTAGGAATTCCATGGAATTCCTTTGATTACCTGCAGGTAAGCAGGAAAAACATATACTACCAATTTCTGATTGAGTAAACTAAGCAAGCTAAACCAAACATCAACCATAAAACTCATAGGTCGGGATGATTCATCTTGCCCTTGAAGGATGGGGTGTGGTTTATTCTCGGGTTTCCGGCCCTATGATAATCAAACATGGCAATGGATAAGTACAATTGGGTTAATTCCGACCCTGTCGTTGTCAACGACCTATTCTTGTATCCCTGTACTTTTTGCGTGCCTGCATTTTTGGTTGAACCTTATCAATGGTGGTAATAAACCAGCTGTAAACTGCCGGACCAAGGTTCCATATCTAAGACAAGCCCTGATATACTGTAGACATATTCGACCCGCATCTGGATTATGATTTGTCTGAACATAGGCTACCCTATTCCAGGCCATAGTTTTGAACCCCATCATTTCCAGGTTTCGAGCGTTTCTTCTATCCCAGATTTGGTTTCAGGGAAATCTACAGGACCTACATTTTGGGCTAGGGAAAAAACAGGGCTTTTCCATAGACTTTCCAAAGTATAAACCAATCAATTGGATATAGACTTGGGTATACCATTAGTCTGGTAAACCCGATAATAAACCACCCTGTTTGGGGATGTTTTGTCTATTTCTTTCCCACACTTAACGGGGGGAGTTTGTGTGTTTGGGTTTGCCACATTAACAAAATATCATATTGTCATCCTATTCCCATTATTAACCCATCATATTCCCATCATTAAGCCATGATATGAGACAGTCAAAAACCCATCAATCATCATTTTTCACTTAAAAACCAATGTTTGACGGTGAAAATCCCAATGAGCCGGGTTGCCAATTTTACACATACAGGGAACACATTCGGGCAGATCTTTCCACTGCAGATCGACACCGAGGTGTCCTAATGCAGATCTTCTATGAGTTGCCCCTGCCGCAGACTCGCCACAGCATGGTGAGCCTCACCGCAGGTGCGCGCGAATCGCGCGCTTCGCGGTGCGATTCTCCCCAGGTCTGGGAAAAAAACGTTTTAGTTGTTTGGAATATGTGGGGGAGATCGATTTTGACATGGAGTCTGATATTTATTCATTCATTCATTTATTAGTTTATTTTTTTATTGACTATAGTTATTTATGTATATCTAGACAAACGCACATTTTTTCAGACATCTGAAAAAACGGGGGATTTTACACCACGGAAGCTTTTCATCGGGAAGAGGACGAGAAAACCACGGATCTTTCCGCGCGAGGCCTGAGGGAGGTGAATCTTTTAGATCCCGATGGCTTGACGCGGGACTTCTCCTTTCGACCACTGGTCGCCTTCCTCTCCGTCACCAGGTGCTACCAGAAAGGTTGTTGAAGTGTTTGCGAGTGGAAAACCACCATTTTATGAAGATTTTTGATTGGTAATTCAACCATAAAATGACAATTTTCAATAGCTATGTTGAATTAATGGAGGGTATAGATAATATACTAATTATACGACTGCTACTACTACTAATAATAACACTAAATTCAAAGAATAATGATATTAATAATTTTCAATAATAATGATATTAATAATTTTCAATAATAATGATAGTAATTTTCAATAATAATAATAATACTAATAATAGTAATACTAGTAGTGAAAATGAAAACCATATGTATAAACAATAGTATTCTATGTAATTGTATTCACGAAAAAAGGCCAAACACCTCGTGTTTGCCCGAGGTACTCTCAAAACACTGTCAAGTGTGAGTCATTCTGGCGTTACTGAAAAGCTCAGGTGGCTGTGCGTCATTGCACAAGTCCCCCTGACCCCAAACAGAAATCCTAGCGGCCCAAACCATGAATCCTACACACTACACCTTTAACCCTAAAAACCATGGAAGAAAAGAAAGGAACGACCTAACACGATAAACATCGAAACCCTAAAACCCTGATTTTCAAACCATGGAACAATAAGCTTAAAAGTGATGTTGGGCGAAACGAGGTGTCTGTGCGCATGTGTATATGTCTATACATATGTATGCACGCAGTATGTGTATACAATAAATCCCCCTTCCCAAAGTGTTGCACTGCATCTTCTTTCCAAAATTACATCCCGTTCTCAGACACCCCAACATCATTTTAAGGTATACTTACATCTCCCATTGTATATATCATATTTATGTACTTATATCACCACAAGAACCCATTTCTAGCACCCCTCATGAAATGCAGCTGATTTTTTGGGCAAATAATCGTCGTCGACAGCAGGTTGTCGCAGCTCTTTGTGCTCACATTGCAAGAGAGGAAGGTCCTTGGGATTGACAGGGAAAAACACTCGGTTGAGACCATGGTGTTGACCTCCAAATTGGTTGGGGGGTGGTTTGGGGTTGCAATTTTCCCAAAGAAATCCATGAGAGGTCCAGATTTTCTTGGTAAGATGCTGATTTTGTGATTTGATGTGTGCAACATCTGGTTACACCCTGCCGAAGCATCCTGGCCGGGATTCTAAGATGGAGGGGTTCCAATTGAACGGTTTTGTGGGACGGTCGGACGTTGCGTTTTTCGTCGGGTTATTGTTTTGTATTCAAAATTTGGCTTTTTGTATCTTTTCTGAAGTTGTTCTGCTCATTTTTGATTGACACTATCGCCAGTTGTATGGTATGACGCCCATTAGTTTTTTCATGTCAATGTTATTGCTGAATTCCCAAGTATTTTCTGGCAAAAGCCCTCATATTTTCATTTGTGAAATCCCAATGCCTGTGGATTAAACCACCGTTTTCTTCTTGACATGTCTACACTCTTGTTGCTTCGGGGACCGTTGAGTCGGCTGATACCTCGCTTGTGGCGGTAAGATGTGCCAATCGCTTGTGGCAGTAAAAACGTGCATTTTTTACTGCCGCAAGTGATTTTTTTACTGCCGCAGGTGATTGCTGTTTTTGCGTGGCAGGTGCAGCATTTGAAGGCCTAATCGCCTGTGGCGGTAAGATCGCTTTTCCGTTTTCAATCGCTTTGTGGCGGTAAAAAATCTATCGCTTGTGGCGGTAAGTGAGTGTCTTTGATGCCAGGGTATACAAAACCAATCGCTTGTGGCAGTAAGCGGCTGGGACTTGGGATTTGAACTTGGCAGTTGCTTTTGGAAAAGGCCTACCTTTCTTCTCTTGGCTCTAGGATCAGCTCTGGAAAATGTTGCTGCAATTGTGAACCCTGACAACAAACCTACTAAAGTGAATTGGGTCATCTCATGGCCCAGTGCCTTTGAAATTTCTGGAAAAACTGTTCTTTAATAAGTTAATAAGGGTTCAATAAGCGATTTGATTTTTTGGGGAACGGCAGACAAGCACGATTTTTGATGGTTAATATTAAACTGTTTACACTAAGGAAGGCCCCATGTGAGTGTTCCTAAAAAGAACCACAGTTTATGTTACGATGAATATCTAATCATTGTGAAAATTTATGATCCCACAACCAGGTGGCCCTAACATCCCCAATGTGAGTAATACGAATGGGACATTATTGTGGCTGGTAGGCCCTACCCTTTTCTTCCCTAGCCCCACCCCACCCCCCAAGGTTGAAGTGGGTTGGTAAGTCTCAGGAAGTGGAGTAGCGGTTCCCTATAATGAAGGTAAGCAACGGTTGTGGCTGGTAGATCCTACCCTTTTCTTCCCTAGCCCCACCCCACCCCCCAAGGTTGAAGTGGGTTGGTAAGTCTCAGGAAGTGGAGTAGCGGTTGTGTTTCCCTATAATGAAGGTAAACAACGGTTGTGGCTGGTAGATCCTACCCTTTTCTTCCCAGCGGTTGTGTTTCCCTGTAATGAAGGTAAGCAACGGTTGTGGCTGGTAGATCCTACCCTTTTCTTCCCTAGCCCCACCCCACCCCCCAAGGTTGAAGTGGGATGGTTAGTCTCAGGAAGTGGAGTAGCGGTTCCCTATAATGAAGGTAAGCAACGGTTGTGGCTGGTAGATCCTACCCTTTTCTTCCCTAGCCCCACTTCTTACTGCCGCAAGTGATTGGTTTTGAAGAGTCTTACTGCCGCAAGTGATCGAATCTTACTGCCGCAAGTGATGGATCATCCGTTTTGTCGGCTCCAGGTTGTCTTGAGCTCGCAGCAGCTATGCCCAGCGCTACTGGTGGTGACCCTTGGCACTTGTGACAGAGTGAGTACCTGACTTTTTGCTGATGAAATCGGCAACTTTTGCACGTTAAAGCTTCGCGTGTACTGAAAAAACACATTTTTCTGGCAAAATCCCAGAAAAAATGCAGGTATAATCACCATGTTCCAGGATTGAGGGTTGATTCACAACTAGCTTTTGTCCATGACTCAAGATTGACAGAAACAAATTGCCTTAAGAAACATCACAAGAATTGTGAGTCCATCAGTCCATCCATTGGTATTCTACGTGTCCGGTGACCAGGATCAGCACGTGGCGCCAAGGATCTTGGAAGCCCTGAGGGCCTTGCTGTTCCCGTTGGAATGGGTGCCTTGGTAGTTGCCCATGAATTGTTTTCGGACCCGGGGGACGAAAGTGCTCAATCGAATTCAGTTTTTTCACCATCCAATTAACCATCGAATTTTAGGGTTACCCCATTTCAATCCATACCCATATTTGCAAACTTCGAGCCAAGTTTACTCTGTCTTTGAGCCGTAGCACGATTCAAGTGCTTCCAGTTGGGGGCCGCATCACCATTTGAATGATGTAGTGAACATCATCATACATCAGCTCTTTTAGGTGAACGACGTTGAATGATGCTGAATCTTTAGGTAAATGATATTAGGTGATGTTCAATTTTGTCGAATCAGATCATGACACATTAAGACCTGATCTGTGGTGACCGCGTTTTGGGTCGTTATCCCAGCTGGGCCTCCAAGAGTGGTTCTTACCACCCCGGCCCATCCGGAAAGTGTCTGATCCATGTCGCATTTTACGGTTTCAACATAATTTAGCAATGGGAATTCCCGGCACTAAATGTCAAACTCATCGAACTAAATGGTGGATCACTTTCCCGTGACTTTCCCAGTTCTGATTTTCCCATGGCTTTCCAATCCCCCCAAAAAAGGTTGATTCTGTTGGAAAGCCACCCGATCTTGGTCCCAGGAAATCACCCATTTTGCCTGGTCATCCCTCCAAAAAAGGCGCATCGAGTTCGACCATTTCCCATGGGGATTCCCACCACATCCCACCAGCGTTGTACATTTTTCATCATTTTTCGCTATCTTCCGATTCCATCGCCAGCAGCCCATTTCGCCGCCCATTTCGCCTTTGAGGAGCACACCTACCTGCCCATTTTGCCCAACTCCTTCCGCTGGGCTTTGGAAAGTCCGGCCCCCTTTCTGATGGGCGTCTCGGGGTCGCCCATTGCTTCAGCGGAGTTGCCGGAGGATGTGCGGAGACCTGGAGGATGGGGGATGGGGGCATGGAGGATTGTCACGGTTCATTGATTGAACATAATTAAGCTGCTTATTGTTCATGATGATTATCATTGTCACTATATTTTTAAAACACACATATGACATTTATTGTTGGAGTTACCGCTGGCGACCTGGCGACCATCTACCCCTGGTGGCTGATTAGGGTGATGGTGTGATCATCATCTATCATCATCCCCTGGGAATTCCTATTAGATCCTATCTAAACCAACCAGTAGAATGGCAGAGGCTTTTGAACACTGCTCCAATCTTCTGATTTTAGGGCACTGTGAATAAGTGCTCGATTTGCTCAGATGAATCGAAACGGGTTAGCCTTTTCTGTCCAGGCCTGGTCAGTTTTAGAAACTTTACCCATCCATTTTGCTTGGGTTGGGGCGTATCATATCATATGGGTATGGATCAATACCTATACATACCATTTTTAGGGGGATGAACATCCATTTACCAGCTATTTTGATGTTCACCAGGGGTACAAGGTTTTGACACACTGCCATATAATTTTGAATCATTCCTGTATGGTGATAGGAATAGGCTGGGGGAACAAACTACTTTGATTGGCCAGGACGTGGTCTTCATTAAAGTTGGCCACGGGCCAAAAACATGGTACCCTGTCGACACCGTAGGTAGCTGGTCGGATGTCATAAAATCCTCCGCAGCAAAGGGATGAATCTCCATATTGACCCATGCCGCACCTGGATCGCACTCAACAATTCTAGTTTCAAAATGGGTTGGTTTAAGGGGAAACGTTTATTTCAGCAATGAAAATGGTTTCGATACAAAAATGGTCAAGTTCTTGGATTATTTGTGAAGCCAATCTGCATTGGTGATGAGGTGGTGGTTTTCGACTTAGACACTGGCAAAACCCTGCCTGAAAAGATGCAGGCGGGGGTGCTGAGCCCTCCGATTTCTGGGTGGAGTAAAGGTTTTGTTTGAAGGTGATTTGAATCTACAGTTTTTTTGTGTTCTATGAGCATTCTATATCTAATGCAACCATCCTATTTTTTCAGGTACCAGATATTGTGGTGTACAGGGTGCTGGAGCCTAGGAAGGCCAATCATCGAAGTAAACGGGCGGCTTCCAGTTCGCAAAGTGTTGAATTACCAGAGGGGAATAAAATATGGGTGGTGTATAATGGAAAAAATGCCATCTATAAATGGATGATTTGGGGGTAGCCCTATTTTAGGAAACCTCCAAATATCCCATTCCCATCCATTCACATTTTTTATTTTACAAGACAGAAGGGCTTTTGAAGCCACCAGGATTTAGGCGTGAAGGTTGGCCTAGATGTAATGCCCTAGATGTAATGCCCTAGATGTAATGTAATGGGGCAGCCATGTGCCACACAACTGACCACCCAATTGTTGTTGCTCATGAATCACTCACGTTTGGTAGTTGTAGCCCATCATCATTCTCTCAGAGAAACCTATATCTCACCATGAATCCCACAAGTACACACGCACACATATACTCTCCCCTAAAAGTAGATGGCTCAGAATCTTGGAAGTCACCTGGAAGTAGAGTCACCTGGAAGTAGATAGAATATAGAAATTTCGAACATTCACTAAAATAGGAATATGTTTGATAGTTGATAATCCCACATTCTATCTAGTTCAGGATGATTGTGTATATATGTATATATATATATATTATAGATATTTGCAAAATAAGTGGACTAACAAATGATTAAGACAAATGACAATCCATTAATTATATAGTTAAGGGGAGTGTCACCCATTTTCACCGCCCTAGGGATCCACAGGTCACAGTGCCACAGATCATCGAACAGCCCTTGGCCCGCCTGCGGAATGCGCATCAGTGGGAGCAACGGCCGGCCAACAAGGCGTTGGTAAATTTGGATTTTTAAGGGGATTTCATGGTGGTTTAATGGTGATTTAATGGGATCTAGTGCGGAAACTAACGTAGATGTGGATAAAATTCCCATGGGGAAAGCCTGGGGAAATGATCGACCAATGGTGGGTTTTCCACTCCACCAACCTTTGGGGCTACCCTGGAAACCGCAAAAATCCAGTGGTTAGGAGGGAGTGGTTCGGAGCTATGGGTATATCAAAATTTCCAACAAGAAATGGGGGCGGAGCTAAGAACGGAGTTTCCCAACCACATGAGAGCTATCCAAGAGAAACAATGGGTTTTATGACCAATCTTTGGCGTAAAGAGTCCAACCCGAAATGAGTCTGTTTTAGTCAACAGTCCCAAATCTTCAAATTAGTTTGCTGAAGGTTTATATTCAGTAGGTAAATTTATGTCAAGTGTCACAATGTGTTAGTTCGTCATGGTGCTGAAATTTCATACAAAATAAATGCAAATTGCGGGTCAACTGGCTATACAAGCTCTACATATAATCCTGAAGTAGATTTACCATGATATACCTGTAGACCTATAGAGATATCTAGAATAACTACAGTTTAGTCAACTGCCTTGATGAAAAAAACAGCTGGGCGTCCCCGTGCCCTCAGGGCTACTGGGCGAAGTACGACCACATTCGCCTGGGACGTCCAGAGGTCTCTGGGGACGCTGAGGTCAGCGGGGAAAGTGGTTGGATCATCCATGGGAATGGGGGGAATACCCTCTGGTAAACTAACGTAACTATGGAAAATCACCATTTTTAATGGGTAAATCCACTATAAATCACCATTTTCAATAGCTTTTTGTATGTTTACCAGAGGGTACCTCAACCATCCTCAACCATCCTCAAGCACATTTTCAGATACACATGTTGTTCTGGAGGGGATGCCCCGAGGGTAATTTCAATGGGGGAAAATGATGAGATCAACCATAAAACTATAGGGTAGACAAACCCAAACAGAGGAGACCTCCGAAGCCACATGGCCGATGCCACCCTGTTAAGAACGCCACCCCCAGGACCTCTGGTTTAGGGTTGGATCGTTTCATTTCGGAGTGCATTTTTTTTTGGGTGCTTGCAATCAAACAAGGGGATGGGATTACCAATCTTTTGTCTGCTACAACTCAACTCTTCTTCTTTTAGTTCAACTTTATTTTTGGATGGTTCATTCCCGATTTTTGGGTTAGACCATATTTTTTTTCTTGCTTCACCCCCCATTGTTGGTGAAAAGCCAGCATTCTTGTTGCTTAAAACTCACCTATTTTCGATGGCCAGTTCCTCGCCCGCACGGCTTCCCGGCAGACGCCTTCTCCAGAGTCGCCGCGCGGACGGACCCTGCGGCACAGGCCCGGCACCGGTTGGAGCCACGAACGGAGTTTCTCAAGCAGTGGACAATTGAACCTTTTCGGTCTTTTTTTTGGGGGGTTGCTATAATACAGATCGGTTTATGATTGGATTTTACATGGATCATGTTTATATATCTATATTATATGGTCACCCCTAGAACCTACCTCTCTCCAATCTATATATACAATATATACATGGATTATATATCATAAATTATATATGGATAGATTAGGATAGCCCCAATATTTTGCAGGGACTTACATGGATCTATAACGATGCTATGTGGCCATGGCTATAAATCCACATATATGTATTGTACACACACATACATATATATATATACATACATACGTTACATAAGTCCTTACGTACTAGTTTGCTGATCCCTTGGCAGTTTGCCATGTCTTGCACGTTGATTGGGATGTAGCCAGTAACATCACTGGGGATAGGTGGTGTTGAAGAGTAAAACTAGTATCCACAGTGCCTCATTTCCAAGTAGGGTAAACACGGGCTGCAGAAGTTGGCCATGACAATGATTCAGCAGATAGGTCTTGTGCCATAGCAATTGGGCATTTCTTTTGTGTCTGAGTTCCCAGAGAAATCCCAATGACTCCTTTAGTCGGTTGGGGAAAAGGTGGATTGGCCCTACAAACTGGTGGCTAAACTGGGTCATTTCCACTGCTGGACAATCGGATATGGACACCCCCAGCCTTCAAGCCGCAGGCGAAGCCATTCTTCCACCAGCGCTGAAAGCGGAGATGCCACTGAGCCAAAGTGTGGAGGTTGCAAAGTTGCAAACTTTTCGGAAGAGTTTAAGGGGAGTTTCCAGAAATCTGAGACTTATTTTTCTTCCACCAGAACATCATGTGATTTCATCACAATTCATCATGGGTATGAGTCAAAATTGGGTACCCCAATAGCTAGATGGTTCATACTAAGAATAGGCTAAAATCTGTGGTCCCAGGTCTTCAATTTTGACCCATTCCCATATATAATCTCCCACCGTTCATGACACTGGGACCCGGTCACCATCAATGACACTGGGTTGGGTGGCGCATCCACCATGGGACATCCAGACAAATTTCATTTAATTTCTATAGGTCCTTAGGTGAGAAATGATATGTATATGTAATTATATGTATAGACATAATTATATAAGATAGATGGATGGATGGATGGATGGATGGATAGATGGATAGATAGATAGATAGATGGATAGATAGATGGATAGATAGATGGATAGATAGATAGATAGATGGATAGATAGATGGATAGATAGATAGATAGATAGATGGTTTGGTAGATACACAATATATTTTCGAGCTGATACCCTCCAGTAAATCAACAAAACGATGTGGAACATGCGTGCTTTCCTAGAGTACTAGGAAATGCCTGATTTCTTTTCTGGAGGGTAATGATCACTGATTGGCTTCAAGGAACATCAACAGGAAACCATGGGTTTTACCATCACAGATGGATACATATAGGGATTTCGTACGTAGATTTTCCCTCAAACCAATCCAATTAGGACGTGTGGGGATTCCAGCTGTTTGACCTATAGCCATGTAGCAGAGATCATGACATTTGCACTACTGACGTTACAAAGTCTATCCCAAGACCAATGGCAAAACAGGGCCCAAAAATGCATTCCGTTCATCTAGAGGACAGCAGGCTTTGGACCCGATTTCAACCAGGTTTCTACCAAATCACCAGTATTACCAGTTGTTTTTCTTTTTTTTTACCCAGATTCACCAGGTTTTTTTCATTAGACCACCATATATACAATATATATATATATATATGGGGGTATTAAACCATATTAAACCATGGATAAATATGGTGGTTTCCATGGTATATATGGTGATATATGGGGTTCTTAAGCAAATCACCCGCTGTTTTTGACGTCTGAAACCAGCTGAAACCAAGGACAGCGACGGCTTGCTCTCCATCCAAAGCTCCAACCTGCTGTCTGGTGCCATGGGACCTGTGCGGCGCTCAGGAAGGGATTCCGGGATGGTGATTTGATATTTATATCCATGAGATATATATCATAGATAAATATATCATAGATATCATGAGATATATGATAAATATTAGATAGTATCAAATGATATTTATCATAGATATTTATCAACGGATGGTATTTACAATGATGTTAAAGATGATGATTAGAGTGAAATTTCTCTGTAAATCATTGTAACTCTATGAGATTTACATCGTTTTACTGTAATATGTTTTAATGTGACAATTGAATATTGGATTTATTTATAACTGAACCTTAGTGGCCATGAAATCATGGGAAGACATGGGAAACACATGGGAATTTTATAGGAAATATTATTGGGATGATATTTGGGAAAATCATTGGGATCTAATGGAAATATAACAATAGTGGAAGATATTTACATGGGTTGTAGGTAATTTGTTTGGGATATCATTGGGTCATTGGGAGTTTTTTTTTGGGACAGCCTGGGAAAGCCCAGCACTAAGATTTGGAGGTTTTGAGTTGGGAAAATCATCGAACTGAATGGAAAACGGAGGATTTTCCAGGCAATGTTGGAGGTTATCCAGTGGTTAGCAGCGGGTCGGAGCTCCGGATATCCATATTCCAAAGCAAAAAAGGGAAGCCAGTTGGAGCTACCAATGGAGTTTCTAAGCACATGAAGATGGTTATCTCACACAGCATATAATGGGAACGCCCAAGGCCATCAAGCATCCCATTCACCATTGGGGGATCCCTTGACATCATCAACCTCTACTGGGGATGGCTACCCGGCCTGGTAGACTAACAGTTTGCGAACTGGAAAATCACCATGTTATAGCTGGGTAAATCCACTATTTCTATGGCAATTTTCAATAGCAAACTACTAGTTTACCAGAGGGTATATCATATAAAGCCGAAACTCAGCACCTTAGAGTCTCCAAGTTTGGACTTGTGCTAGCGGCGATTCAACCAACCCCCCAGTGAGGCCCCAAGAATAAAGGTTACTTAAGGGCTTGCACGCCAGCACCAGCCACAAATCATGACTTATTACAGTAGCCATCGATTATTGCCGGGCTCCCGTTGGAAGGGTTAGGTTGAATCCACGTGCATATTCATTTCTGTCCTCATTGCTGAAGTCTGCCAATCTTTTGTCAGCTGGGCAGTGTTATGTTTGATGATTATGGGGGGTTACCAACAACAATTGGGGATGATCACATACCATGAAGACTAGGAATCTCCATGAATCAATAATGATCAAACCAAAAGAAAACAACACCACATACAAAACCATGTCAAAACCATGTGCAACATGATTTGGGTGGATTTTTGAAGTCACTTTTACTAAAAAGGTCTCCTTGGAATTGTCCCAAAACCGCGGTCCGCGTGGCTCGTCTCGTGCCGTCTCTCAGAGGCTTGGACAGAGGAGCAGGAGCGAGGCTTCCGACAAAAGGCCCGGCCCGGTAATGCGGCGGAGAAATGGCAAGATTTCTCGGGATATTATAAGGGGATTGTAGGGGTTTATAAGGGATTTATAAGGACTTATTAAGGGATTTAATCCCTTATAGGGATTTTGTTGGGATTTATAAGGGGTCACAAGGCGGGATCGGCTCAAACTTCCCATGATTTACAGGGACTGATATAGGGATGATACAAGGGATAGTCATGGGGATAGAATTGGGATTTACAGCTTTTACTATTTTCAATGTTAAGATTCAAATTGTGGAAAATCATATGATTACCCCAAAATGGATATCAGATACCGAACAAAAATATACACTGTATGTATGATCCATTGGTATCCGATTTTGGAGCCAGAGCCAATTGACGAGCATGCAGCATGCGTTGACAACTCAAGCTTCAAAACCTACGATATCCGATATCACATGAAGCAAATAAGCGGGTACAGCCAAGAACAAATAGTAGCAATGCATCTCCTCTCAAAACCAGTGGACCATCCCTCTGAGAGACCCGGTGTTTTTTTCAAAACCACCGGCGAGATGTGGTTGTTTTGTTGGTGATAACAGTGATATCCACAGATATTTTGTTATTTTGTTTCTCATCTTCATATTTGCCGATGTATAAAAAAGCATTTTGCTGGTCACATCATCATACAGCCACTTGAAAGTTTTTTGTTTTTTTACCCCCACATCTTTTGGATTCCGGCTGCGCATGTCATTGCCGAAAGCCACCACCGTTGGGATTTTAGGCATCCCATGGCCACTGAAATCCATCGCCATTATGCGCAGGTTACAGCCATTTTTCTGGAGGTGCGCCGGAATGCCGTAGCGCCGGAAGATGTGGGTGAATAATGTTTGAATATTGTGCTTGTAACATCTTGCAACCATGAGTCAGTAGCTTAATGGCATGGCTGCAGCTACTCAGTCCCTTTGGCAACTGCTTGAGTCTCACATCCCAATAACATTGAGATTCGTTCATCATGACTCAGATAGAATCCTGATATTCCTATCATATCAACTTCTGATAATCAGAAGTCCACCATTTGCTTTCCACTTCCTTCCTGTGAAACTCTACGAGCCGAACATGTCAACATGAAGCTCCAAGAATTCCTAAAAACCCGTTCAAACACCTCCCCCTAAAACCATGGTGGATGGACGGGATTCGTATTTGGGACCATTTAAAATAGGGGATGTTTGATGTTAGGAGGATGGGATTCATCATTCACTTAAATGATTTTCTTTGTTTCTAGATGATTTTCACACATGGAACATGATGGAATGTTTTTGTAGATGATTTGTCTATAATCCAGAAGTTCACATACACATATAATTACGTGTAACGTGTATATAATATACATATACTGTATATATATAAATACATAAATGATATCAATATAAATATAAGTAATCACATATATTTTCAGTTATGATTCAACACCAGTTATTCTACCCATTTTTTTTCCAACAGATCCCTTCCACGGTGCAGGCCATGGTGCTTCTCCTCCACCGATGTCCTGAGCTTTCGCAGAAAGTTCAAGACACGCCGGAGTCGCCTCTTGG